TTTAACTTTTGTTTATCGTGGAAGGTTTTAATTTCATCTTCCATCCTGAAGCTTAATTTTGCTGGAAACACAATTCTTGGTTGGAACCCATTTTCTTTCAGTGTTTGAAATATGTTATTCCAGGATCTTCTAGCTTTCAGAGTCTGTGTTGAAAGATCAGCTGTTATCCTGATTGGCTTACCCCTAAATGTGATCTGCTTCCTTTCTCTTGTAGCTTTTAAAATTCTCTCCTTATTCTGTATGTTGGGCATCTTCATTATAATGTGTCTAGGTGTGGGTCTCTTATGATTTTGCACATTCGGCGTCCTGTAGGCTTCTAGGATTTGGGGTTCTGTCTCATTCTTCAAGTCTGGGAAGTTTTCTCGTATTATTTCATTGAATAGATTGCTCATTCCTTTGGTTTGAAACTCTGTCCCTTCCTGTATCCCAATGACTCTTAAATTTGGTCGCTTGATGTTATCCCATATTTCTTGGATGTTCTGCTCATGGTTTCTTAACAGTCTTGCTGAGCTGTCCATGTTCTTTTCAAGTTGAAATACTTTATCTTCATTGTCTGATGTTCTGTCTTCTAAGTGTTCTACTCTGCTGGTAGTATTCTCAATTGAGTTTTTAAGTTGGCTTATTGCTTCCTGCATTTCTAGGATTTCTGTTTGTTTGTTTTTTATAACCTCTATTTCCCTGTATAGTTGATCTTTTGCTTCTTGGATTTGTTTATGTAATTCATTGTTGAAGTGATCTTTCATTGTCTGATTTTGCTGTCTGATGTCTTCCTTGAGACTCCAGATCATCTGAAGCATGTATATCCTGAATTCTTTATCTGACATTCCATCTGCTGCAGCTATTACCTCTTCTAACGTTGAGTTGACCTGCAATGCTTGTGGTCCTTTCTTTCCTTGTCTCTTCATACTGTTCGCGTTCCTTTCTACTTGGTGAAACTGTTGTGCTATTGAATTTTCCCCCTATATATTTATATTGGTCTTGTATAGTTGCAAAGTCTCCCTCGCAGGCGCGGGCGGCGGCTCTGTCCCTCTGCGGGCCGCTAGGCTTGTTCTGTCGGTGGTCACAGTTCTGTCTACTTTGCAGGCGCAGGCAGCGGCACTGCCTCTCTGCAGGCCTCTGGGGCTGTACTGCCAGTGGGTCGCAGGTGCCCCTACCTTGCAGGCGCGGGGGGGGCGGCGGCTCTACCCTTCCTCAGGCCACTGGGCCTGTTCTGTCTCTCGGTTGCAGGTCTGGCCTGTTCTGATGGTGGTCACAGTTCCGTCTACCTTGCAGGCGCTGGGGGGAGGGGGCGGCTCTGCCTCTCAGCAGGTCGCTGCTCCTCTTCTGCCGGTGGGTCGCAGGCCCGCCTACCTTGCAGGAGTGATTGGAAGCTCTGTCCCGCCGCGGGCCACTGGGCCTTTTCTGACCATGGTCACAGTTCCACCTACCTGGCAGGCGCGGGGGGTGGGGGGCGGCTCTGCCCCTCAGCAGGCCGCTGGGCCTGCTCTGTGCGTGGTCACAGTTCCCTCTACTTTGCCGGCGCAGGGGGAGGGGGCGGCTCAGCCTCTCAGCAGGCCGCTGCTCCTCTTCTGCCGGTGGGTCGCAGGCCCGCCTACCTTGCAGGAGTGATTGGAAGCTCTGTCCCACCGCGGGCCACTGGGCCTTTTCTGTGGGTGGTCACCTGGCAGGCGCGGGGGGTGGGGGGTGGCTCTGCCCCTCAACAGGCCACTGGGCCTGCTCTGTGCGTGGTCACAGTTCCCTCTACCTTGCCGGTGCAGGGGGAGGGGGCGGCTCAGCCTCTCAGCAGGCCGCTGCTCCTCTTCTGCCGGTGGGTCGCAGGCCCGCCTACCTTGCAGGAGTGATTGGAAGCTCTGTCCCGCCGCGGGCCACTGGGCCTTTTCTGTCCGTGGTCACAGTTCCACCTACCTGGCAGGCGCGGGGGGTGGGGGGCGGCTCTGCCTCTCAGCAGGTCGCTGCTCCTCTTCTCAGTATTTGTTTTTTAAAGGGCCAATGTTAGTTTGGTAGACTTAAGCCAAACAATTAATCCATGTTTTTTCCTAACAAAGAACAGGTGATGATATTCACCTGATATATTGGATCAGGCCCACACGAGAAGCCTGTCTTGGTGACTCCCACAGACAGCTTCAAGCCTGCAGATCTGGCTGAATTTCCTCCAGAACACATCCTTTTCAGAGGGCTGCATCTAGGCTGGTGCCGGGCGGCTGCAGCTGCTCTGGGGTCGTGGCGCCCATGGCTTCGCTGGCCTTGGGTGGCCGCGCTGGGAAAACGCGAGCGGCTCAGCCTCTGCAGTATCCTTAACTCCTTTGTTTCCTGCTTCGTAGATAAGATCAAGGCTCCAAGGGCCAATATTGCCTTTCAAACTTTTTTTTTTCCCCTTGGATGTTTTCTCTTCCCATGAATGAAAATTTTTCTCAAACTAAAGAAACATCAAATCACAGATGCTAGACATTCAGAGTATTTAATCAGGAAAAATATTGATACACCAAACCACATGGACAATAAATGATGTAGGAACCCATCTTATGATGTTAGAAAATTGATCTCCCAAGTGTAAAATGTAGAAGAAAATGAAAACGAATATAACTAAATAAATTAGAAAACAAACACACAATAAAAAGAACTAAGAAAGCTGAAAACTTTCTTTTTTTGGAAAAGACTAATAAAACTGACAAACTTCTGTTAAGATTGCTCAAGAAAAAAGGCAAGTGGCAAAAATCAGGAATATTATGCATTAAAATGGGGATATCACTATCAATAATACAGATGTTAAAAATGTTGATGTTTTGAACAAATTTACTCCAATTAATTTGAAAATTTAGATGTAATGAATGATCCTACCAAAACTTTTGCCTCATAAAATACTCAATAATTCTATCTTTATTCTTAGGTCAATCAATAGTTTAAAAACCATCCCAAAAAACAATCTCCATACACAATTTCCAAAAGTGAATTCCATCATTTAACAAAAAATAACACCAATCCTCCTCCACAAAATTTAAAAATTTTTAATTTGTTCTTTTTAGTTACACATGATACTACAATGTGTTTTGACATATCTTACATACATGGAGAATAACTTCCATTTTGAGGTTGTACATAATGTACAGCTATGCTGGTTGTGTATTCATATATGAACATAAGAAAGTTATGTCTAATTCATTCTCTTTGCCATTCCCATCCCCCACCTTTCCCTCCGTTCCCCCCATCCAATTCAGTAAGCCTCCAAGAACAAACCCTGTCTCCCCATTGTGAGTTAGAATCCATATATCAGAGACAACATTCAGGTTTTGGTTTTGGGGATTGCCTTATTTCACTTAGCATGATTGCCTTCAATTCCATCTATTTACCAGCAAATGCCATAATTTCATTCTTCTTTATGGCAGAGTAATATTCCATTGTGTATTTATACCACATTTTCTTTATTCATTCATCTATTGTAGGGCACCTGTGTTGGTTTCATAGCTTAGCTATTGTGAATTGAGCTGCAATGAACATTCCACAAAATTTTGACCAAATAAAAACTTCTTAAATATTTTTTATTCCATAACTTTTTATAAATATTTTACAAAACAAAACAAATCAACCTGAAATTACATCTATGTAATTTTTTATGGACATAGATGTAAGAATCCTTACTAATAGTAGCAAGCAGTCTGATGTATAACAATTTATACATCATAACACTGTTTGGTTTATTCAGTTTATCATATGACTTATAATTATTTGCCATTACAAATTCAGGCTAAATAATTCACTATGTAATTCAATAGAATATATATGCAATTCAACAGAGCAAAGAAGAAAAATCATTCACTCACTTCAATACAAGCAGTAACAAGTATCTGATAAAATTGTACACTTTTTCGTGATTTAAAAAACCAAACATGGAAAAAAAAGGAACTCCTTAAATTTATAAAGTTTCTATAATAAACATCATACTTAATGCTAAAATATTACAATGTTAACTCTGATATTGGAATGAAAATGGAGGTCTGTTGTCACTTTGATTCAATTTAACTATTGTATCTGTTGGGAGTCACCCCGGCTCCAAAGACTAACTTCCCCATCCCCCGAGAGAGCCATCCAATGGTGAGCCCTGCTGGCTCACATGATCCTTACCCACCAATCAGACTAGCCCTGCTGACTCACATGATCCTTACCCACCAATCAGACTAGCCCTGCTGGCTCACATGATCCATACCCACCAATCAGACTAGCCCTGCTGACTCACATGATCCTTACCCACCAATCAGAAAACAACCCGTACCAACTGTCAAATCATTAAACTGTTAAACTGTCATAACTGTCAAACCACCCCCGGCTCTATAAATATGCAGAGCTGTTCCTCAATAAACGGGCATTTTCTCTGATGATGAGCCTTGTTCATTCTTTCAGTATCTGTCTGACAAAGCAGTAAATCAAGAACAAGAAACATCTACAATATGGATTGGAAAAGAAATACACTATTTGTATATGCTTTGAATACATTAATTAAAGTAATCTACATTAAATTATTAAAAATAATTTAGCAAACACAACATGCAAAAATGAACTCTGAGCTGTATTCTCTATATCAGCACTAAATTAAAAACTGATATTTCCAAAAGTGATACTAGGCTGGGGTTGTGGCTCAGCAGTAGAGTGCTCACCTAGCACAGGCAAGGCCCTACGTTCAATCCTCAGCACCATATAAAAATAAATAAATAAAATAAAGGTATTGTGTTCAACTACAACTAAAAAATAAATATTTTTAAAAAGTTATACTAGTAGATGGTTGATTATTAGTAGCTCTTATTCTATACCTGATAATTATTTTAAAATTACCTTGATATACTTTTAAAGTTTTACTATATTTTAGAAGTTTTCCTTGGCTTGAAAAATGACACATGTACCAAACATGTGTCCTCTCTCCTTGAATGAACAGCAGATTTATACATGTTTTGTGGCCTGAACCCGAGGTTAATTTCATGGATATTTATGGAGATCCTCAAGATACTTACTTTCTTTACTACAATTTAAGAATTTGTGAATACTCTTTTTTTTGGGTGCACAGTATCTTCATATGGTAGATAACAGTATAGTCACTGATGCATTTCCCAAGGTTATAATTGGGAAAGAGCAGAAATGAATTATGTATGAATTTTCTGGTGCCAATAGACAAGTTAGTCGATGTTCCTAAAAGTATGATAAGAGTAGGTTACATAATAGAAAATAAACTATCTCTAAGATAAAAAAATCCCCCAGTAATGATCCAACCAAATTTAGGAAATTAAAAACCAGATTATGTCGCGACCCCTCGCCGGCAAGGGAAAACACGACACAGGATTCTTCTTTCAGCAGTTTATTCAGGCCTTGTTTCATGTATCATCTTCTAGTGACCCCCCCGCCGAGCGCCCAAGCACAGCCTAATAAAGCCTCCCGCATACCTATCCCAAGCTGCCACGTGGATCTCTCTCATAGGGTGGTAAGGGATTGCGCGCCAACTCTCCAAAAAAGGAGTTGTTTATCACAGGCCACAGTGGAAGCCGGCGCCATCTTCTAATGGCGGCCACGGTCTATAAGAATGGCTTACCACAAGATTATCTTTGAAGAACAGGAATTACGTCTTAATAAGTTTTTTAATAGTTTATACTTGTGATAAGAGGTTTTGCTGATAATTACAGAATTCGATTTTTTTTGGTGAAGTATGGCCGTCTAGGCTTTTGTTTTCTTTATGGACAGAAATTTGAACCATCAGTCACTTGAATGCTTGTAGTACAATTCAAATTTTCTAATTCTTCTTAAATCAAATTAGTAAACTGCATCTTTCTAGAAGTGTAACAGTTTTGTTAGTCTGGCTTAGTTAGTACTCTCTATTGTGTATTCACATTGTGGAATGGTCAAATCAGAGTACTGTGTGTGTGTGTGTGTGTGTGTGCGTGTGTTGGGGGGCAGTTCTGGGGATTGAATTCAGAGGCCCTCTGCCACTAAACCATACCTCAGACCCCTTTATTTTGTCTTGAGACAGGGTCTCTTTAAGTTTCTGAGAATGGCCTGGAACTTGTGATCTGCCTGCTTCAGCCTCCTTAGTCACTGGGATTACAGGTGTACACCACACTGGCCAGCTATATATATTCACTTTCTATTTGGTTAATTTTTGTTTTTAAAAAATTTTTAATTGATTTTTTAAAAGTAAATGACCGCAGAATGTATTACAATTCTTATTACACATTTACAGCACACTTTTTCATATGTCTCATTGTATATAAAGTATGTTCACACCAATTCATGTCTTCATACATGTACTTTGATAATGATGACCATCACATTCCACCATCCTTGCTAACTCCCTGTTTTTAAATGTTCACCATTCTTTCTTTGAATATGCAATGCTGGGTGTTTTTCCAAACTTTTAAAATTTATTGATTAGTTAAGGCTATACAATTTTTTACTTTAGCTATAGCATAATTATATTATTTTTCAATTCTAAATATTTTTTCTATTACTATAATCACTTGAGTTTTATTTTTATGAGTATTTTTGTAGCATAGTGCTTGCCATTCTTTTACTTTCTATATCTTTATTTTTTTTTTACTGTGCCTTCCATAAATAGCATGAAGTTGGGGGCTTGTTTCCAATGTGGGGATTGGGGAAGTCCACAATGGCAGTCTTGTCATTTATTTAATGAGCATGTTTTGCTGTTATTTGACTTTATTAATTTTGTGGGTTGTTATTATCATATTATTTATTTATTTATTCAGATTTTTCTGCTTTATTTTTATCCCTTCTTTGTAGTTTAGATGTGATTTAGTTTTTTAAATTCTTTTTTCTTCTGCATTGGTCATTTATGTTTTAAAGTTAAACTTTAAAAAGTATTCCTTTGTGGTTACATTGGATATTTAAACATGCCTATTCAACTTTTTTCTCTGGCTGCCTCAGAAGTCTTCTCTTTAACCTTGGCATTCTGAAGTCTTATGATGTTGTATCCAATGAGTTGCCTTTTGCCACTGAAGATTTGTTTGTAAACAACTGTGTACAATCTCAGCCAGTGTCTTTTTTAATACTACATCTTTGTGTTCTGTTATTACTTTCTGAACTCTATTGGAACTTCTCTCTCTGTCTTCCATGGATTTCATATTTTTATCTTTTTATCTCATGGGATTAAGTGTATTTCTTTTGTATTCATCTTTTTAAAAAATTTTTGTTTTAGTTGTTGATAGACTTCTATTTTATTTGTTTATATGTGGTGCTGAGAATCAAACCCAGTGCCTCACACATGCCAGGCAAATGCACTACCACTGAGCCCTAGCTCTAGTCCTTTTGTATTCATCTTTAATCCACCAATTCTCACTTACACTATGTATAATATTCTGAAACTTTGGACTATTTTTTTTTTATTTTTAGCTTAATTTCGAATTGACCAATAATAATTATATATATTAAATGTAAAGTTTTGACATGTATATACATTGTGGAATGATCAAATCAGAATGATTATCACATCCATCACCTCAAAATTTTTTTTTGGTAAAGAGATTTAATTTAATTTAATTTAAGGGTTTATCAACTTTATTTTTTCAAAAACCAACTTTTTGTTTCATTGATTTTTTAAAAATTTCTTTGTTTCAATTTCATTTATTTTGGTTCTGATTTTAATTATTTCCTCTCTTCTACTGCTTCTGGTATTGATATGTACTTTTCCTTGGACTTTGAGATGAAATGTTAGGCTATTTACTTGGTGACTTTCTATTCTTTTAGAGAATGCATTCAATGCAATGGACTTTCCTCTTATAACTGCCTTCTTAGTGTCCCAGAGATTTTAATAAGTTCTGTCACTATTTGCATTTACCTCTGATTTCTTCTACTGGTCATTTCTTTTATTGGTCATTCAATGACATATTATTTATTCTCTAGGTATTAGAGTAACTTCTATTTTTAAAAAAATTATCATTGTTTTCTAATTTTACTCCATTATGATCTAATAGCATGCAAGGTATAATCTCCATTTTTTTAATTGTAAAGACTTGCTCTGTGGCCTAAAATATGGTCTATTTAGAGAAGGGTCTATGTGCTGGTGAGAAGAAAGTGTATTCAGTCATTGATAGATGAAATATTCCATGTCTGTTAAGTCTAAATTATTAATTATACTTTCTACTTCTATAGTTTATTTAGTTTTTGCTTGAATAAGCTATCCAGTGATGAGAGAGGTGTGTTAATGTCCCCCAGTATTATTGTGTTGTGGTCTGTTTGATTCTTGAATTTGAGAAGGGTTTGTCTGATGTATGTAGCTGCTCCACTGTTTGGGGCATAAATATTTATGATTATGTCTTGTTGATATATGATTCCATTAAGCAGTATGAGGTACCCTTCTTTGTCCCTTCTGATTAGTTTTGGCTTGAACTCCACTTTATTTGAGATGAGGACAGAAATTCTCGCTTGCTTGAGATCTATGTGAATGATGTTTTCTTCACATATTTTACCTTCAGTCTGTGGATGTCTTTGCATATAGGGTGAGTCTTTTGAAGACAGCATATTGTTGGGTCTCATTTTTAATCCAATTTGCCAGTCTATGTCTTTTTGACTGATGAATTTAGGCCCTTGACATTCAATGTTATTATTGAGAAATGATTTTAATTCTCTATCTTTTGTTTAGTTCTGGCTTTTGAGTTATTTTCTCCTTTGATTGACTATTCTTCTAGCACACTTCCTCCTTTTGCTGGTTTTCACTTTTATTTTTCATTTATTCATAAAATGTTTTATTGAGTATGTTTTGTAGTATAGGCTTTCTCGTTGTGACTTCTTTTAACTTCTGTTTATCATGGAAGGTTTTTATTTCAAGTTCAATTCTGAAGGTTAATTTTCTGGATGTAATATTCTTGATTTTGAAAATATCTTGAAAATATCCATTTTATTTCAGAGCTTTATATATATTATTCCAAGACCTCCTAACTTTGAGGGGCTGGGTTTAGACATCCAGATTTGTTTCCCTCTAAATGTGACCTTTCCACCCGCCCATGGCAGCCTTTAAAATTTTATCCTCATTTTGTATGTTAGGCATTTTCATTATGTGCCTACTGTAATTTTGTATATTTGGGGTACTATGAGCCTCCTGTATTTGAAATGGATTTTAATTTGGTTTATTGATTCCTTCAAGGATTTTGGAACTGATTGTCCTTCAGAAGTAAGCTTATACTTCTTATATTGTCTCCCTGATTTCAGTATAACCATGAACTTTCTGAATCCCATCTCTGACATTTCCTCCACTGTGGTATCAATGGAGTCTATTGTTGAGGTGTTTTGTGTTGCTGAATGCTTTGTTTCCTTGCTTTTTCATTTTGTTTGTGTGTCTACCCATCTATCTGGATGGATATGATGCTGTAGAGTTTCTATCCTATGAGTTTATAGTGTCCTTCTATGTTACTAGTACCTCACAGATTGGGAAGTGAGCTGAATGATAGCAATAATCTATGCAAACAATACACACCAGCAGACTAGATCCTTATTTCCTATTTTGATATCTAGAGTTAATTGGTACAATATGTAAAAATAGTAGGATCAGCAATTTCCATCAGTAAAAACAGTAAATAATCATGCATTATGTCTGGTTTAAAATCTATGACTTCTGTCATATTATATTGCTGTGACACTGGTGGTAGGGGCAGATATTATATACATCATTGGCATTAAGAGTTGTTAAGGGTAGAGTTGTGTGTAAGGAAAGAAAAAGATGATTAAAAAAGTGTTTGAAATTTCAAAAGCTGAATGGGGTAGATGCAGTGGTAACTTAGGATATGTTGTTAATGTGAAAGGCGAAGGAAAAAATAGAAGAATATGAAGGAGAGAGAGAATGAAATTTGGGTGTTAACAATAGAAAAAAGTTGGGGGAAACAAGGGAGATAGAGTAGTGGCAAAGATGATACAAAAAAAAACCCAAAATATGCTAATCAAAAACTCTAACCCACAAAATACAGAGCATGGGAAAATAACACTTTTGAAAAATGAAAAAAAAAAAGCTAGAAATGAGAAGCAGCAAATATATAGGAGTCCTTGCATCAGTACACATTCAAATAAAACAAAACCCCAATATAGAAAAACAAACAAAAACAACAGAAAAAGGAAAAAATCTTGGTGAAATGCTAAGAAATTAAGGAGTCATTTCCACTATAGTGGACAAAAGAGTCAGTTAGTGAATATGTTCACTGTTTGTGCCTATCTGATTTTTATTTCTTCTTGAGGTAAGTGTGGGAGTATTGGCTATGGGTTGTTGAGTCCTTCCTTTTTATTGTGTTGCTCCAAAAGTTGAAGGTTGGGGTTTAAGATTTCCCAATTTCCCTTCTTGGGAGATTAGTGTGGGCAGGCTGGGCTGTGGGCTGGGTGGCAAAGCAGCTGACTAGGTCAGGCAGGTCTGGTGGTGAAGTAATGTACCAGGCAAGCTGGGTAGTAGGTGGGCAGTGAAGTGGCTGGCCAGAGAAGTGGCTGGCCATGTATGGGGAACCCACCTGACCTGTAGGTCCTGAAGGCTGGCAATGAAGCTATGTACTGGGCTGGGCAGGACTGGTGGCAAAGCAGCAACCTGGCAAGCAGGGCTATGGGCCAGTGGTAATGAAGCTGCAGGCCAGGTAGGCCTATTGGTAGGCTGGGTTTGGGGCCGGGAGTTTGGGAGACTGGGGACTAGGGTCCAGGGGGCCTGGGTGGATGCTAGACTGGTGCCAGACCTGGAAGGTCCCAGAGGCCCAGGAACCAGTGGATACCAGACTGGAGAGAAAGCTGGGGACTGGGCTGGTGCCATGATCTGGTGAGTACCAACCTGCATGGGCCCTGGGTCTGACCTGTGGGTGTCAGACCAGCTGGCTGGGAAAGCTGAGAGCCAAATGCCATCACACCCACCCTTCCAACCTCCTAACCCACTACTCGGGGGATGGGGGAGCTATGAGCCACAAGTCTCACAGGGCTCTCTGTAACCTGTGTTTCCCTGGGAAAATGCCCCTAGTTTCTGACTTTCCATGGGTTTGCTAGGCCCAGCCAAGATCCTTCTAGGCTCAGACATGCCCATGGATCTGGGTTTCCAGTTTATGTTGGCTCTATGGTGCTGCAATCCCCAAATGGCTCTTGGACAGGTTCTCCACAGATGACTGACAATCTCAAAACAAATTTTTGTTTTGTTTGTTTTTAGATCTGTTTAATGAGTCTCTGGTTTGGCTAGGGTAGACTGCCCCTCCAGTCTCATGATTTGTCACTCTAAACCTCAGGGAGAAGCAGTATTCCTGCTGCTTGAGTTCTGGGTTGCTGAGCTAGGAGAAATATTGCTTCACTCTAAGCCACCATTTTACCTCCTTCTGTTTTGAGTACTTTATATATTCTGGATATTAATCTTCTATTAGAGTAGTAGCTGGCCAGAATTTTCTCTCATTCTGTGGGCTCTCTCTTCATGCACTTAATCATTTCCTTTACTATGAAGAAGCTTTTTAGTTTGAAGGCATACCACGTATTGATTCTTGGTTCTATTTCTTACACTTTGGGGGTCTTGTTAAGGAAGTCAATGCCAGTAACTATATAATGGAGTATTAACCCTATGTTTCCTTCTAGCAGCTACAGGGTTTCTGGTCTTATTCCCAAGTCTTTTGATCCATTCCAATTTGAGTTTTGTGTAGGGTGAGAGATAGTGGTGCAGTTTCATCTTTCTACATGTAGCTAATCCAGTTTTCCAAGCACCACTTGTTAAAAGGCTATCTTTTCTGCAAAATATATTTTTGGCTTTTTTTCAAGTATCAGGTCTGTGAATTTGTCTCTGTGTCTTCTATTCTGTTCTGTTTTCTTCATATCTATTTTGATGCCACTACCATGCTGTTTTGTTAGTACTGTATAATTTCAGATTTGGTATTGTTATGTCTCCTACTTTACTTTTCTTGCTTAGCATTGCTATGGTTATTATGGGTCTTTTATTCTTCCAAATGAATTTAAAAATAGTTTTTTTCCTAGTTCTGTGAAGAATGTCATTGCTATTTTTGATGGGAATTGCATTGTATCTGTATATTGTTTTTGATAGTATGGCCATTTTGACAATATACTTTTGCCTATCAAAGAACATGGGAAGTCTTTCCATCTTCTAAGAGGTCATTTTCACTTTATTTTTTCAGTGCTCTATAATTTTCATTATATAGCTCTTTTACCACCTTGCTTAGATTAATTATCAAGCTTTTTTATTTTTTTGAAGTTATTTTGAATGAGAAGAGTTTTCCTAATTTCCTCTTTAGCTGAATCAATGTTGGAAAACAGGAAAGCTTTATTAATTTATGAAAGCTGATTTTGTATCCTGCTACTCTCCTGAACTCATTTATAAACTCTAGAAGACTTCTGATGGAGTTTTTTGGGTCATATTGTCGACAAATAGTTTGACTTATTTTTTCCCCATCTGTATTTTTTTGATTTCTCTTTTTTGCCTGATAGCTCTAATATTTCAAGGTCCATATTGAATAGGAGTGGTGACAGTGGACAACCTTGTCTTGTTCCTGATTTTACAGGAAGAGCTTTTAGTTTTTCTCCATTCCATATTATGTTGACTTGGGCTGGGGATGTGGCTCAAGCAGTAACATGCTCGCCTGGAATGCACAGTGCGCTGGGTTCGATCCTCAGCACCACATAAAAATAAAATAAAGATGCTGTGTCCACTGAAAACTAAAAAAATAAATATTAAAAAATTCTCTCTCTCAAAAAAATTATACCTTCCACATTATGTTGACTTTGGGCTTGTCAAAGCTTTATAATGTTAAGGTAAGTTCCTTTGATTCCTAGTTTCACCAGCATTTTTGGGGGGTGGGGTGGGCATAATGGGGATTACTCAGGGGCACTCAACTACTACTAAGACAGATCCCCAAATCTCCAGACCTATTTTTTGTATTTTATTTAGAGACAGGGTCTCACTGAGTTGATAACACCTCACTTTTGCTGAGGCTGGCTTTGAACTCATGATCCTCCTGCCTCAGCCTCCCAAGCTGCTGGAATTACAGGTGTGCACCATAGTGCCTGGCTTCACCATCATTTTTAAGGTAATGGGTTCTGAATGATATCAACAATTTAAAAAAACATGAACTAGATAAGGCATTTGACAATGGGTATCTACTATTTTGTGTAGTATATTAGTCCCAAAAACTTGAATGTGGTAGGATTTAACAAAGTCTCATTGTTAGTTTGGGTTTTTGTCTTTTCTGTTCTTTATATTAAAGTGTAGCTGAAGAATGTCAATAATTTATTTTTGGAACAAGGTGTGTGGTCGTTTTTCAGCAGCAGAGCCTCTACCTTGTGAACTTGTAGTGTCCCTGTAGGTTCTCAGAACCTCACAGAATAGGGCCAAACAATAGTAACAGCTGATGCAAATGATACACAACATTGAAGTACATACCCAGTTCGTACTATGACATCTACACATTAATTACCATAAAAAACAGGAATGGTAGGGTCAGCAATTGTCAAAAAAAAACAACAATAACCATAAACTAGATCTGGCTTTAAAGCAAAC